TGTCAAAAAGTTCAAATTCAGTCTGAAGACAGAAAACGATGTACTTCTGACCCATGAATGACGTGGGTTTGAATGGCATGGGTCCACTTACACGTGGGTATTTTTTGGTAAACGGTATAGTACTGTAAATATACTTTCCTCTTGATTTTCTTAATAGCATTTTTCTTTTCTCTAGCTTACTTTATTGTAAAATACAATCTATAATACATATAACATACAAAATATGTGTTAATTGGCTGTTTATGTTATCAGTAAGGGTTAACAGTAGGCTATTAGTAGTTAAGTTTTTAGAGAGTCAAAATTCATACAAAGATTTTTCCACCGCACAGAGGATTGGTGCCCCTAATCCCCACATTGTTCAAGGGTCAACTGTATATCTACATTTTTAATAAGGCACCATTTGGGCACACAAATGTACGTAATTTTTGTTACTATTTGGTATTCCTATTGAAAAGGAAAAATTTAAATGACTGAAAGCAGCTGTCTGTCTTAGCCTTAACAAGAATGCAATTTTCTAGCTAAACAGAGATGGAAAAGAAGTTTGCTTTCAAAATTATCCTTCATGTATATTTACACTGAAACACACAAGGGGATGGGAGGCCCGGGGTCTGGTCCTGGTGCAGCGCTCCCTAGGTGTGAGCCCTTGGCCAGGGCCCCTTAACCAGAGAATGGAATGAGATGATGTAATGAAAAGTGCTTTAAGGACACCGTGCCCAGGGGGAAAATGTCACGGACAAGGTGAGCTGAGTGCTTACTACACACCAGGGCACTTGACCTCATGTACCCCCAATGACCTAGGAGAGGTTCTACAGATGAGGGAGGCAAGTGACACTCAAAAGGTTAAGTCAATAATCCAAGGTTCTACAGCTAGCACAGGACAAAGATAATATTTTAAACCTAGGACTCCAGTGTCCATTTGGGCATTCCAACTCTCCATAAAGCTCCTCACAGACAGAAGGTTTTGTGAGTCTTGGTATTTCATGATGTGTTATTTGTACAAACTGTGTATAACTTTACAGGGCATGTGACATTTTTCTCCCTACAAAAAGCATCTCTTCGGAAAGATGAAACATGTAATATCCAAACAAGGCAGCTTATATTTTTGAATTAAAAACCTATTGGGCGCCTGGGTGGCTCAGTTGGTTAAGCGACTGCCTTCAGCTCAGGTCATGATCCTGGAGTCCCTGGATCGAGTCCCGCATCGGGCTCCCTGCTCGGCAGGGAGTCTGCTTCTCCCTCTGACCCTCCCCCCTCTCATGTGCTCGCTCTCATTCTCTCTCTCTCAAATAAATAAATAAAAAAAATAAAAATAAAAACCTATTTTCTCTTGCATATTAGAAGCAAACAAATCTTGGTTGGGCCACGGGCTTCTATATTAAGTCTCTTCAAAATACATCTCTGAAGCTCTTAAATAATTTCTCACAGTTTTATAAACATTCTCTAAAGCCCCCCCATACTAAATAGCAATAATAATTGTAAGTAATCTGTCAAGAATTTTAGAAAGCGCGGCTCCAACTGAAAAAGACTGATCTCTTTGCCAATGTCAAATAATGTGTGTCTTCAATAAGCATGTCAGCAACATTATTTTTACAGCATAGAAAATGCTAAAGTAGCATACATAAAAATAACGGCATGCTGATTAAGTGCAGTACATCTATATTTTTGAACTCAGTTGCTGGAAATCCAAGTGAGCAGTAAGAAAATTACTTGGGTAGACTGTAAATGAAAGCTCAGTCAACTAGAACAACATTTTGGCTACTCAAAGCAGTGCTCAGGATGTGAGCACTTGGATCACAGGGCAGAATCTGTTAGGTCTGTCTCAAGTCCAATAACAGTATCTGTGCTTGCCTGCCACTCCCCTCCTTCATCTACTGTCATTGGTTAATTTGGTTCAAGTCAAGACTACGGAACAAGTCAGCATGCTTCTGGGAGCTCATACATATTTTAAATTATGGCCCCTTTGACACCCCTTCGGGGCTCTTGGATCCCCCAACACATGGAGGGGAACAGGAGCCCCGGTTGAGGACTGCTACAGAAGCGTGATAGACAACGCGGAAAAACAATGGGGATGCCATAAAGGGAATGGGCAGGGATGTGGGGCAGAAACAGAAAACAGAAGGCAAAGCTCTTCTTCTGCATCATGCAGAAATCAGGACCAGTCAAAAGAGGATGGATTACCCTAAGGGTTGCCTCGAGGAGAGAAATTTAAGTTACATTGCCACAGATCTTTCTGTACTATCCAAATGTTTTAATATCATTAAGTGGTTAAGTGGCTTATCACCATTAAGACAAGTTTCGCATATTTGTTGCTAAATGCTGGTATGATTTGCTGAGCCACATCACATACCAAAACCAGGAAAATACCCCAACTATATATTATATTTTGCTTTTGACACACAGAAAAACAAAATGATAATATATGGTTTTTTTTCCTAAGCGGTGGGTAATAAATCTAATGGTCTTAAACATACTTCCTGTTTTTTCATCTAGAGCCCTTAGAAATGACGTATTTCTCCTGTGGAGAGATGCCACGCCAGTTCTAAGACGCTGGGTGTGGTCACGACACACGCAGGCATGCGGAGAGGTTGAAAGCTGGGAGCTAACTCCCGGAGATCCACGTTATTAGCCTTCCCAGGGTGCTAATAAATCTCCACTCTGCGGGATGCTGCCTGAAGAAGCCTGCCTCCTTACCTTTGATATGGGGAATGAAGTGGTGTCGGAAGGGGGAGTTGGGGCGGGAGTCGCTGTGGGCGGAGCTGAGGCTGCTGGTGCGCAGGTGGGACAACGTTTGCACACCAGGAGACAGCAGCTCTGTGCGGCAAGGAGTCAGGGGCGGGGCCGGGTGGAAACAGAAAAGAAGAGCAGAAATTAACACAGGAGCAGGGACAACATCATCATTCCAAGGGGGGCGGAAAACAAAGAACGTTAATCAGGAGTCTGAAAAAGGAAGAAGGCAAAAGGGTTAAGAACGCACCTGCTGAGGGCGAGGCTAAGTGGGGAGAATTTGCAAACAGGTACGGGTTGGTACAGAGTCGCTCTCTGAGAATAAATGGCTTTATGAGAAGGAATGGCCACCAGGACATTCTCTGTCAGGATAACACTGGCTACTGCTGACCCAGTACTGGGCACATCATTTAGACTCAGAAATAGCTGTTTTTAAAAAGCACCTGACAAAACAGAACCCTTGAAACACGTTAAAAAAAAAAAAAGATAACATTTTAAGAATCGAAAAGAAGTACTTCTATGTAAGGGTCATATTCTTTTTTTTTTTAAGCTGCCAACTTCTCCCACTAGCGGTTTAATTTTATTTGCCTTTGTAGAAGGAAAACCTGTTTGTGTTCCCTGGGTGGTGAGGAGCTGCTTAGGATCCTGAGAACTGCGTGGTGGCAGGAAGGGGGGGGGGGGGAACGGAAGCTTCGTTATCTTGGAAGGAAAATGGACCATTAAAACTAAACCCAGACATGGGCAACGTGTACCATCACCTGGCATCTAGAACCCGCCGAGTGGATAATCAGAGGTTTTCTATACTGACCACAGCCCTGCTGTCAGAACCCCACCGGCTTCACCTGACAAGGGTAGATCTTGAAAAAAATAATTATAAGCCCTAATAACTGGCATCATGCACGCCCATAATATATTGTGAAAAGGAGGAGGAGCACTTAGAATGGGGAATGTTCTAAAGCCTGCTGGCTTTGGAACCATGACTGGAACAGACGAAAACTTTCAGTGCTCAACAGCGACATGATCTTTCAGGGAAATAATGTCCCTGGCTGGCCACCCCTTCACTATTCAGGGGCCCATGGAACAACGATTTCCCTGTAGCCCCACGTCATTCTGACAAGGTCATGGCCGTGGTCTCTGTGACCGCGTACAGGATTTCTTGTCTCCCACACAGACAAGGGCTTAAGTCCAGACCCAGGTCCAGAGCATGAATTAAATGAACGTAGTTGCACATGAAAAAAAAAAAGAAAAGAATCCATTTCTTGAAAAACCCTCATTTTACATAACTCAACAAATACTATTTATGACCTAGAGAAAATTATACATTATTGAAGACTCATATAGTAAAAAATCAATCTTCTATATGCATTAAATCTATGGCTTTAAGGAACAGATTGCAGCCTTTTTATATTCCGTTCATTTCCTCTGGTTCTATTTTATCAAATAAGTTAGCACATGAATGAGTTTGTGCCTGTGCGGAAGCACAACGCTTAAAAGGAAGTCTTCCTAGACGTTCGCTGCCACCGGAGTTGTTTAGAAGGCCAGAGTCTCCCTCTGGGAATCTACTTCTCAGGGAGCCCTGGATCCGTGCTGGGATCTCCATTCTTCTATTCCACACATGAGACACCCACTAATAGTGATAGGGACTACGCTGTGCACAGATGAAGGTCACCTGAAGTCCACTACTGTTTGATATTGCCTAACGTTTTTCTGTTTTCCAAGTCTGGTTCAAAATCTAAGGGCTGGAATGGATCTGAAAAGTTATCAAACACAACCCCGAGGTTGCATATAATACTTCCTTCTAGAAGGTGCTTAACCAAGCATGTTTAGTGACACCCTGTGCCTGGTTCGGGGAAACATGGCAAACCCACCAACGAATGACTAATGCTGTGGATTTTAGATGATGCTGATGTGCCTAAAAGGCCCATCAAAGTATTTTCTTTGGAGATCTTCATTTTTAGTCTCAAAGTGATGAGATTTTCTTCAAGTCTAAAAAAAGGAAAAAAAAAATCTCCCTGGCTTCCCGTTGTTCACTGTCAAGATGTAATTATTTAATAAATCATAATGAATATAATCATAAAATAACACAAATTATAGTTGGATATAAGTTTTCTTTTTTTTTTTCCCCTGGGAAAAGGGGAGATCTATTTGGCAGCTGGATTTTTTTTTTTTTTGGCAGCTGGATTTTTAATACACTATCAGTGGTAGGGGAAAAAAAAAAAATCACACTGCAATACAGACTATTATACAGAGTGAATCTCAGGGACAGGCACCCTTACCAGGTCTGTGAAAATGCTGGGGAGAGCGAGATGTGGTCGGAGTGTAGCTGTGACGGCTATAGACGGGGGAGCTGATGGAGCCCTGGCTGGTGGATCGATGGATCACCCGGTCCCGAGAGTCCTGGTAGCCCTGGAAAGGACGTGCGAGAACGCGGGAGCATAAGACACACACTCAGGCTATCATTGGGTCCAAGTGACAGCCAGTTCTACAAAGGTTGCCTGGGAACTGTCATGCTGACCTGTTCATGTATACATTTTAGGGCCATATCCTTCAATACATATGCAAAGGAGCATTCTGTGGTTAATGCATTTTGTTCGAAACCCGTAGTTCTTGCATTTACCCAAATTTTAAGATGTAAAATGGTAAACTCCCGTGTCGATAGAGCTCTGGGAAAAAGAGGATACCCCAATGGCCACATTGATATGGTGCTTTTCAGTTTTACGAAGTATATTCATCGTTTCACCCGATTTGCATAATAACAAAGGTAGAACACAGGGTATAGACCTCTCGTCTCCACAAATGCAGGATGTTTCAGAGCAGGTAAGAGACAGTGCGTAGGTGTGTAGCTCATACAGGCAGAGCCTGCTTCAGAGCCAGCCTCCCGGCTCTAATCGTACCCTTTGTTCTGGCTGCCAACCTACACTGTCCATCACACTGACCTGGTGACATCTTAAGTTGATTTTCCTGCAGAACAAGCTGGTGGTGGGCTTAAACCCAGGAAGTTCTACTTCCTCCTTTGAGAAACATATCCCAAGGAAAAAATAAAGAGGGATCTCCAAATGGGAAAATTTGCTCAAAGGTATTTATAATACCGCCATTTATAAGGATAAAACTTCCTCAACAAATTGGGGAATAATGAAGAAAATTATGTGTATCCATTCAGTGGAATATAATACCACCACTGGTATGCCCACTATGTCCAAAACCAGAAAAGAGCCGGTTAGGTATGAAGTACAAAAAAAAAATCATACTCACACCAACACAACATAAAACTGCTCAGACAATGAAAAGGATAGAAAGGAATGTTCTACATTTTAGGAATTAGTTGTCTTACGAAGTTTCTGCTGCTACAACAGAAATACAAGTTTGAAAGACTGTATGGAAAATGCCTAAGTTAAAACCTCAGTAACCATGGCTGTGTGCCATTTGTTGAGAGCAAATGGCAAGGAAACCTTGGTTTGATCCCAGTCGCCTAGAACAATAAATTAAAAACAATGAAACAAAAAGTCCCCAAACAACGTGCTTCAACTTTGCAACTGGACAATAATAGAAGTTAATGCTTCATAACTTCTGTTGTGATTAGAATACTAACAGAAATTAATTTTTCACAGCCCTCAGTCATAAACCATCAGAATACTACAGTTTTTACTATGTTAAATCATAATGGTTATCTAAGACCAATCCAGTTTTACATAGAGTATCCAGAAAGTTGCTTGAAGATAAGACTTACTGATTTTATTTTTTATTCATTTTAACGCTTTTAAGATTTTATTTTTATTTGTTTATTAGAGAGAGAGGGAGAGAGAATCTGAAGCAGACTCTACGCTGAACACAGAGCCCGATGCGGGGCTTGATCTCACAACTGTGAGATCATGACCTGACCCAAAATCAGGAGTCCGATGCTTAACTGACTGAGCCACCCAGACACCCCTTATTTATTATTTTTATTATTATTTTTTTAGATGGGGATAGACTTAACACCTGAGGAGTTCGTTCACTGGATACATAAGGAAATACAAAAAAGTAAGAAGCATGCTAAACATACAATCTCTTGGTTATAGTTATCTGAAGTAGCTTAAATGAAAGAAAGTGCTGGGTCAGACCTTGGTGCTGGACCACACTCAGATTTGGGTCAGCCAGAGCTTAGGTCACTAGCCTCTAAGCCACACCCCCCCACACACCCCCACTCCCCCTCTGCCAAGGGAAAAAATAAGGACAGACAATGGAAAGTACTTCTAAGGCCTCTGGTCACCAAGTAGGCAGTCGGGTGTAGGGGTGGGGCAAAACCGAGGAACTACAGACACCAGGAGGGAGAGTGTGAAGGAGCTTTTGATTTTCTAGATCAGTATCAGCTTCCGGAAGAACCCTTACTAAAATGCGTTGTGAGAATAACTAATCTGGGGGCTATGTCTTTGGTTTTGAATGCTGCAGAGTGGAAGAGTATGTATGGATTGACAGGGGACCCGTGGTTCACTACGGAATGATCACTGATGGCTCTAAGTGATCCACATAGGAGTTATTCTCAAGGGAACAGCGGGCCTGGTGGACTGGATAAAAGCCATTGTGAGATATCTTTACCCTGAGAAGGGGGACAAGACTACTGATTCGAGACTAAAAGGAGTGTCCTCCCCTGAAGATGGCTCTGCTTACAGAATACTCTCTGACCACTGTAGGCCATTTCAGATAATCCAGTACGTTGGGATTCAGATCAATTCAATAGGAATGAGGGGAGAGAGCCCCTCCCCCAGTAGGACAGGTGGCCTCACTTCCTGCAAACCCTTACCAGGCACTTAGAGGCACAGGCTCAGATTACTATATGGCTGTTTTTAACCCCAGTCTCATTGGAAAAAAACATTGACTACTGTGTCTTAGAGTCATCTCACATGTAAGGAGTCCTACATTCATCATAATTTTGCGTGCAGTTTTTTTTTTTGTTGCTGTTGTTTTGTTAAATGTCCTTCTTTAAAAACTCCTGTCTAGGAAAAGTCCAAGTCACTCCCAAATCCCACCCATTATAATGTTCAACAATGGCACTTACTTCTGCTGATGGAGTAGGAGACAAAGTCCTTGGAGACTAGAAGAATAAAAGAGAATTACAAGTCACAGTGGATATTGATTTGTTATCAGTTTAATTAGTTTATCAGAAGCCCCTGGAAATAGTATGCTGCATCCACATGCCCGCTCCCGTTGCCCATCCCCGTCTTCTGATTCGGTAAGTTGAAAGTGGGGCTCAGGCAGAAACATGACAACCAAGCTCCTGGGAGCCTGGCGCATGTCCTGGCCTAGGAACCGTGGGTTTTGAGAAATACGCTGTCATACTTTAGATGTTTAACTTAGACAAACTGGAACTATTTTTCCCTCTATGCTCAAACTATGCTCAGTTTACTACTATGAGTCACGGTGTCTACTGAAACACAGAATTTTATAAACATGGTTGTTGACTCAATTATCATCAGGGCAGTCACATAAAATCATTTGCTGCCTGACACAGGCCGGTGATGACCAGGTCTGTGGCATCCTGCCCTGGTGGGCTTGCCAACATCTCTACATTCACCTTCTGGCTTCCATCCTTCAGGGCACAAAGGCTTCCTTGGGGTCAATGAACAGATCAAACCCTCTCTCACCACAGGGCCTTTGCATTTGCTGTGCCCTCTGGCAGCAGTGCCTTTCACTCAGACACCTGCCGGGCTTTCTCCTCTTCTTCGGTGAGGTCTCCACTCACACGTGGTACACACAGTGCCTTCTGTGACCCTCCTATCTGAAGCAGCAACCCAGCCCCACAGGCTTTCTCCTTACTCTGCTTCATTTTTCCACTAGCACTATGCCCTGTAGAAGTGCATTATGTATCTGCTTATGGTCTGTCTCCCCCTTTCCACTGCAAGCTCCATGAGGGCAAGAACTCTGCTTCTTTACAGCTAAGTATTCCCAGGGACTAGAGCAGCTCCTGACACGTATGAGGTGCCCAACAAATATTTCCTAAATGAATGAATGAAATGTTTACAATTAAAATGCAAAAAGTGCTCAAATAGAAATGAAATGCAAACAAAGCATCCTGAAGGACACGGTGGATTTCTCAGCATCCCAGTTTGCCCCTCACCCCAAGGTCACAAGAAGCCGCTGGACTCTCTCGCACTGCAGATTCCTCAAGGCCCCTGGTCTCAGGGCAGCTGCGGACTATCTCTGGGGTAGGGGGTGGGGGGGATCTGGGTGAACACAGGCTCCTTGAAGGCAGGAGCCAGGCCTGACCCTGCTGACAGCCTCCGGATCCACCCTACTCATACTTTCTGAAGGCACAAATGGGGACACAGGACGTCAAGTTTATTCCTCCAGCGTTTCTAAATTGGCAATCTAGGGATTCTTTGGAAAAATAAGTTAATAAGTAAAGGAATAAATAATCAAATGGTGTGTCAAGTTTTCTAAGTTGCAAGATTCATGTGTTGGGGAAGAGATGGGGAACATGTCTGATTTCTGATCTGGGGGCATCCTTCCATCAGATTCCGTGATCCAAGAAACCCACAGGTCATCATTCCGGGTTATGACGGTAATGATGCTGAGCACTTCTGTGCCAGGGACTGTTCTAACCTAAATATTTCACTTAATCCTCACAGAAAACCTCTGAGGTGGATATTACTCTCTTGAGTTTACAGATAAGGAGACTGAAATACGTACTTTTCCCAAAGTTGTATGGTTAGTAAATATGAGTCTGACTCCAAACCCTGAAATGTTCAAAGCCTAAACTCTCGAGCGCTTGATGCTTTACTGCTCAAAACGGAGCCCCTGGGAAACAGACACCTACCCCCAAACCCAAAACACCATAAAACAACTCACCTCCCCCTTGCTTGTATGACTTAAATATTAGCAAATTCTCGTGCACTTGTTCCAGGCCCAGGCGCTGTGCACCCTGTTCAGGAACTGTCCTTTTTCCTTTATTCCCTATGCAACTCTCCAGGCAGGGCCCCGTGGCAACTCCACAACCCAGGATCAACCCACCTTTGAACGGCTGCAGATGCAGTTGCATGCATACGACCACTAGGGGGCACTACATGAAAATGGATATCACTTCCTGTCCAATGGGCTATTTCAATGCAGAGCTATGCTCTGGCATAAAACCCAAATTGAAAAATGAGTAAATAAAAAGAACAACATATATTACAATTATGAATACATATAAGTATAATTATAAAACATATCAAATGTACATGTATTATTGAGAACAAATTGAACAGAATCACCATGTTTTCATGGCTTTTCTTCATCTAAGATCTCAAAGCCCTGTGTGGATGTGTTAGGTAGCGTACAGTCTGTTTTAACCTTGGACTGAACAGCTAGTTACAGTCCAGTACTCGGGTAACATCTCTCTGACTGGACTCAAATCAGTCTGTAGAGGACTCTAATTTTAAAAATAAAAGGGGAAAAATTTAGAGTGAGTTCAACAGGCCAGAGGAAAGAGACCAGAGCCCACGCCACCCAGGTAGGGAACCCCCAACCCTGGAAAGGGATGGGGAGGACCCCAAGGGGCTGAGAGGCTATGCTCCAGCCTCCGGACCATTAATGTTGGGGGAGCATTAATAAGCCCCAAGAGCCCCAAGAGCACAGGGAGTGACCACAAAAGCAGCCGTCATTTGCCGAACATTTACCACGAGTCTGACTCTCTAACTGCTTTAATAGATTAGCTTATACAGCTTTGCTTTAATAGATAATAAATGATCTAGATATTCTATAGATATTAACCTTTAACAGATGGTTTATTTAATCCTTACTAACATCCTGTGAGGTAGATTCTGTCATCCTGTGATACAGATGAAGAAAACAGGGTCAGAATGGTTGCCACATGGCCAAAGTCATACAAGCAGCACGTGGAGTCCCCAGGTCGAGCCCAGGTAATTCGATTCCAGAACCCTAGCTCACATCACTGTGCCACACCGTGGTCTCGATCTCTCTGCTGATTCTGTCCTTGCACATTCTATCGTAAGATGCTGCACACAGCAGCTGTCCTAATTGAGGGTATATGTTCTCTTCCTCATGATCCCCATGACTATACTTCAGCCAGTCCCTCACTCCCTCTGCCCAGCTCACAGAATCTCCCCTGACAACTTTGACTTCCTTCCCAGTATATCCACTCTGCTATCCCACCACCTGGTACCAGCACTCATTCATGCTTCCCCGTTGTTTTCTCTGGTTGCTCTTTTCTCCCACCCCTCTGTAACCTCCCGAGGCCAGGGATGGTGTGATAGGTTTCTGATACCTCAAAGCACCTGTCATGGAAACCTGCAAATAGAAGGGAATCAAAAGGACCCTCTGACTTATTTTGATTCCAATCAGTCATGCTTATACATGTGATGAAAGAGAAGTTGTTGTATAATGCACAGCTTCTAGAACGCATTACCTCTCCCAGGCTCTGCCTCTCCTGTTTGTCATCATAGCCTGAAGTGTAGAAAGGCTCATAGGTAATAAGATCTGGACGTTCAATATCATAAATTGCCTTGACCTTGGGAATGGCTGCTAAATCCTTATAATCCAGGATTTCGTTGTCCACTTTTGCCTGGCAAGGTTAAACAGAAAGCAAAATTACTCTCATTAGTCTCATCTCTTTGGGGAACTATTTTTAGTACATTTCATGTTCTGCTTGAAAGGTGAAGACCTTAAAAAGAAACAAAAACCAAAACATTTTGCTCAGTTTTAAAACCAAAAGCATTTTGCTTTAGGAAGTTGCCTATTTATACCATGTATTAATCAAGTTGTTTTTTAAAAAAAAGTCATCAAAAACTTAGGAAAAAGTCTGTGTAGAATAAACCAAGTAGAAAAGCCTGTAAACCTTCAGGATAATTTTCCTACATTTATTACAGAGATGGAGAAGCTCAAACAGATGGTCAAAAAGAATCCTCCCAGATGGCCAAAAACAAGAACTGCATATTTGGTAAATTAAATATTTAAATATCTTTGTGGTAGAATTTAAGAATACTCAGTATCAGCATTATGAAATGTATAATTAATCCCCATGTATCTATATCCAAGTTAGCAATTTTTAAAGTCCTTCATGGTATTCCTGCATTTTATAGGTCATTGACATCGATGGTCACATTTGTGTATAAATGTAATTACCCAAAGGAAAACATGATTGAGAAGGCTGATCTTCAACAATGAAAACTGGATCTCATAAAGAAATAGAAATAATTTCGAATTAGTCTATTTAGGATTACCCACCCCACATGACAGTCTGCTACTTTACCTGTCCCGGAAGGGTCTTTTCCGGAAATAAATACTTACATAGATAGTATGACCTGGGGAACCAGGGATACTGGAGCCTGGTCTAGAATAAATGCTTTCAGAGGAAGTCCTGGTAGGCTGTAAAATAAACAGTGCCTTGTAAGATTTCAGACCATGGCTTCAGAATCAAGACTGGCCTGAGTCCTTAGCATTTACTAAAAACTAAGCTGGTTAAAAAAAGATTTGTGACTTTTCTGAGTAAGGGAAAATATAACCTAGACAGAAAGGTAAAGGAGAACCAGCTGTGCAATCAGCCTTGAAAATGCATTTGGGGACTTTTCACCTTCTCCTCCTCGTCCCCTCCAAGACCTTCTTGCTCTGCCTTCATGCACATTTCCCTCCACCTCTGTTGCCACAATCCCAGCCCCAGTCTCCAGCTCCGCTCATCTGGACTATTGCAATGACCTTGCCTGAGGGTTTCCTACTTCTATTCTTGCCCTCTTCAAATCCACGTGATGCCCAGTGACCAGAGAGATTTTTTTTTTTAAAGATTTTACTTATTTATTTGAGAGAGAGTGAGAGAGCATGAGTGGGGGAGGAACAGAGGGAGAGGGACAAGCAGAGTCTGCACTGAGTGCAGAGCCCGACGCAGGGCTCGATCCCAGGACCCTGAGATCATGACCTGAACCAAAATCAAGAGTCAGACCCCTACCCAACTGAGCCACCCAGGTGCCTCCACAGAGATTTTTTAAGAACAGAATTTGGTCACTACTCTGCTTCTGGCTTCAGCGACCACTTCATATCACAACTCCCAGCGCCTCAGGGTTTTGATCCGGCTCTCCTCTCCCACCCTCTCAGTTCCCACCATCATTCATGGAACATGGCACACGTCCCTGCTTCAGGGTTCTTATCCTCGCTGTTCCCTCTGCCTGAAATGCTCCAGTCCTCGATTTTACTTGATTTTTTTTTCTTCCTCCAGTTTTGGCTTTAAATATCATGTCCTCAAAGAAGCCCTTCCTGACCTTTCAATCCAGAATGGCTACCCTTATTTTCTGTCCGAGTCATTCTTAGTTTTCCTTCATGAATAAAATTTATAATTCCATGTGTATTGGGTTTTTTGTTTTTTTGCTTTTTTTTTGCATCCTATCTCTCTCATTAACTTCAGTTACCATCTCTGCCCTCACAGGATTTATTTTTTCGCCACTGTGTATGCCCGCTGTTTTCCACAGGTACGTAGAAGGCATAAATCTTTGTTCAGGGAATGAGCTAGGATTTATTATTTGTAAACACTCAGTTTGTGGATACCTGGCTCGTGTTAATTACGAGACGTGAGCCTAACCACACAGAGAGTCACTGCAGTAAGGTTAGCAGTCAGCCGCTGGGAAAGATAAAAGAAACTGGACTTTATAATATATGCTTAGAGGACCCTGAGAGTGAGTGGTGGTGGGAGCAGTGGGAGGGTTAATTGCCTCCCACTCTGCCTGGCACATTCTGGAAAGCTCTGTCAAGAAAACCAAAGGCCTAATCTTGAAAGACTTGCTCCCCTCTGTACAGATACTTCTTGGAGAGGAGAATGTGTAGTTCTAGGTTAGGAATTGGAGCTTTCCTCTTCAGTACTTTTTCTACTGATATTTGGCATCTTGATTGTGCCTATAACGGAGACAAAGAACCTCCTAAAAATCAGGATGTTGCATCACTATGTATTCACATGTGAAAATACTGAGAGCGAACCCACCTGACCAATTCAAGTCAGACAGCAATTAGACTCACTCTAACAGGGAATTCACTGGAATTCAATGTATGGTTCTTGTGTCTTTGAGATACCAGGGGGGAGGGGGCTGGAGAAGTCACACTGTGCACAGTGGAGGGGTGGCAGGCTTGTCGCTTCTGGTCCCCCTCCCCAACACCTGCCACATACAAGTACTTTCTTCCTAGACTTAAATTTCCAATCACGTGCGTATCTCAGTATGAGAAAATTCTAAATTCTGAGTCGACTGGGAAAGGAAGGATTCACATAATGATGCTACTCAAAAAGTCCAATTCCTTGATTTGTGTCCCAATCAAAATACAGAAGTGACACAACCAAAGTGTGGTCCTCCTTTAAAAAGAGACGCCACCTGCTAATAAAATGGAGCCAGTATGCCTCTCCGTGGGGTAACGATTAACTACAGGTAGTCCTTCGGCCTCAAGTGGCCAGGAGCGAATACGTGCCAACCCAGGATCAAAATGCAACCTGGTAAGTAACAACACAAGAATATGAGTGGCAGCTAACGCTGGTCATCTGTTTACTATGCAGCCCAAGCTCTTAGCCCCTGCACTAGACTCTCCTCCATATTGTAAGGTACACATGACCATTCCTCTCTCATCAACATAGCTATGGGACAGATGAGGTGAAAATAGGAGAAAAAATTTGAGATCAACTAGCAGGAGGGAATGTTCTTGGCTCCACGAGAAGCCTGCAGTGGCTCCGTGTTGGGGTGGGGTAGGAGAGGGGCGGATGCAAGATAGACGTCTTCGGGTACTGGTGTTGCTATGACAAAGCCCTGTTCGCATTAACAAGCAGCTAGGACGTTGTGTGAAGAACCAGAGAACACACTGAGCCTTGGGGTCTCTCCCATGTCCCTCATCCTATTTTCGCCCAATACAGGTCAGAGATACTTTCTGCCTTCCCTGTAACAATGCGCCTGGGGATGCCTCTGAAGTAGTCTGGTCCCTTGTGTGCTATGCACGCAGATCGGAATGCAGCTGCCGAGCCACGTGAACACATGCCCGGGATGGGGTCTGTAACACTCTCTTCCAGGGCTGAGGAACTAGACGGAAGGAAAAGGTCCCTGGGCTGAACCAGCCTGTTTCCATTCAGGCTCTCTCTACCTTCTTTCTTCACCACATGGGAGGATCTGTGAGTTCTGCAGGCTTCCTCTGAAGTATTCAGCTGGTTCATGTACAGCATGACTATGGCAGAGCTAACGTCGTTAAGAGTTATCGGACAATCTGAAATCTTGTCAAGTCCCGTTTCGTTCTTCAAGGTGTTCAAATCTGAACCATCTCCATTTTGCATATACCGGCCCCAGGTTATCTGATTCTAGAATAAGTATTTTGCATTTTTGTAGTCAGACTGTGTTCAAAGTCAAATCAGCTGGTCACAAATCTGATGGTGCTCTGGCTCTCGTGTAGAGACCAGTCTGCCGTGAGCATCTTCAGACCATTCAGCACCGGAAATGCTCAAGATTATCTCTTGGAGATTCAGAAGTTGCTCTTTGCTTCACTGCATTTACTGTGGCTTGCTTTTGCTTCATTCCGATCTCCTTACTTAAAATCTACTTCCATAGGCATCTTGCTTATGGGTTGAGTTACATCCTTGCTTAGTTTCTTACAATGGCCCTTCTTTGTCCTGTTTTCCTGTCTAAAATGAAATAATGGGATAAAACACACGACTCTGTGTAGTAAAATAGAGGGGGGTTAGAAGGCTGGATTTGGAGTCAAGTGATTTAAGTTCAAATCCTGGCTCTCCTAGTTGTGTGACATTCTATGAGTTTTTCTTTTTCTTTCCTTTCTCGTTTTCTCTCTCCCTTTTTCTTTTGACTTCCTTGAGTTTCAACTTCTCATTTCTAGAATGGAGCAAAGGGTACTAACACCTAGTTCATAGGGACAAAGGAAACAACACCTATAAAGCTTCAAGTACCTTGCCTCGAACAGGGCGCGTACCCATTTTCAGCATTCTCCAGACATCGGACCGTAGACTGGATTTCTTCATCTTTTAACCTCACACAGTGAAGGAGACTACGGTCTCTATTTTGCTCTTCATGACAGAAGAGTCCTTTCAAATGTGAGCTCCATGGACGAGATGTCCGTAGAGCTCTCTGCACTTGTGTGCCTTCCCATAAGAACTCAGATACGTGAGGTCATTTATCACAGTCCACGGGGCAGCAGTCAGATTGCCTAATGCCCTTCCCCTTTTCGAGAGCTCTATGGAGTGATTGTGTATCCGCCCGAGATGGTGACTTCCTGTGCAGGTCTTAGCTTTACTGATTTATGCCCTTCCCATGCCGGATGGCAAAGACCTTGCACAGGCCTCTCTTATCTCCCGGAAGGGTTCCTCGTGCGCTGCCTCTTCACCCATGCTCAAGCTCAAACAGCGCACACGGATCGCTTGCTTTTCTGCCACAGTCCCAAGGGCTCCCAAAGTGTATGTGCTCACCCGGCGGAGGTTAGAGGTCCCTCCTTCACGAAGATAATAAGATTACTTTTTAAAACTCAACTATCAGTTTGGGTATTTTAATCTTAAATATTTGGAATTTTACGTTTCAATTCGAAATATCTAGAATTCTAAAAATGTTGAATTTTAAATGAACAACTTTATTATTAAAAGAAATCCTTTTGTTCTTCCGGCTGTATCTCCCCTCCCCCCATTAATAAACTGGCCGAGGGTCTCTGATGGCCAAGACGCTTCAAAAGGCACACAGCTGTCTTCCAATATAGCAGCTCAAATCCACTCCAGTTGAAACTCATTTAACCTGAAAAGCAACAACTCACTGCCGTGCCTTCCCTCTTTCAAATCCCACTGACTGTTTCTTCTTTACATGAACTTAACTCTGGTGTCACCCTGCTGGGCTAGAACAAAGTTTTACAGATGATCCACATTTCCACAGATGATCCTTACATGCAATTATTTAACCTACATTACTATTTCAACTCATTCTCCTATCTGACCCAGGAGTTACTGAGTTCAATAACCCAATGGGTCAGCAGCCTTTGTGAGCCTCTATGAGAGTTATGATGGACAAAATTACTCTCTTGCTTATACAGCTGACCCTTGAGCAATGCCAAGATTAGGAGCATTGACCCACTGTGCAGTGGGAAAGCCAAATATAACTTTTGACTCCCCCCAAAACTTAATTACCAATACCCTACAGTTGAACTGGAAGCCTTACTGATAATAACAGTTGGATAACACATATTTTGTATGTTATATGTATTACACACTACATTCTTAAAAGAAAGTAAGTTAGAGAAAAGAAATGTAATTAAGAAAATCCTAAGGAAGAGAAAATATATTTATAGTACTGCAGTGTATTTATGAAAAAAAAAAAAAAAGTGTATGAGTTGGACCCACCAGTTCAAACCCATGCTGTTCAAGGGTCAACTGTACTATAAATGAAGATAATTTCTAGTATTTATCCTCAAAGGTATGCCCACTTCCACAGAGAAAGGAAACAGGATCTGTTATTAAAACAGATGCAATTTACTTATTTTCCTCGAAACACCTTTTCCCTCACGCCTTGTGGAAAAACCCAACTTGAAAGCACAGCTGGAAAATTCAGTTCTATTTTTTAGTGCCATTTTTGGCAAAAAAAAAAGAAAAAAAAAAGGCAGGGTGAGGGTGGAGAAGGCACAGTAGATACAGAAAGGATTATAGACTGGCTGTGATCTCTCAAAGTATTTTGCTAATACAATTAGGCAAAGAATCTAATCCTTATTTTGGCGACAGGAGGAAAGGGAGCTTCACGAAGAACCTTCTATTGCATGCGGTTGTCCTCGCTCACTCTCTCATCGAGGGGTCCCTGTGACCTACATTTACTTCCCCAGCACACGTTCATGTACCCACCTTTGATTTCAAAAAGGTTTTTTATTTTTCTCAAAAGAAAAAAAAAAATCAGCAAGGAGAAGTCTCACTGAAGACAAGTAGTTTGTTTCAAGAAGGAAGAGAAAAAATGGCATTTGATACCTTACAGTAGCCGCTTGAAAATACAGGTCTCTTTGTTTTCTGCATGAAATCTTTTGAAAAGTCCTCTACCTTACAGCTGAGCTTTCCTCTATGCCCTGACTTGGTCCATCTGTCCTCCCATTCAGAAGGCACAGTCACAAAGTGAGAATTACACTGAAGACATCTTTTTATGCTTCCACATAGCACTCATCCTTCTTCAGATACTATTAAAACACTTACCAGAGCTCTGCCTGGTGAATAAGCAGAGAAAGAACATTTTCCATTTACTTTCATTATGGGCCACCGTGCACATGGGGTCCCTTCTTGGCCGGAGAGCACTCTGCTGCCCCCGCCCTCCCCCCCTCAGCAGAGGCAGGGGTATGACAACTACCCATCTAATTTGCATTCCTCCAAAGCCACGCTCTACAAAGGGAGAGAAACTGCAAGCAACTGGCAACCAGATGGGAAAGAGCTGATGAACCCCCAGGGGACAACTGCCCATATAAGGCGATTGGCACCTTATAGGAAGTGCTGCTGGGATTGACAGTACCTGCCTTGGGTTTTTGTTGAAGTTCACTAGACAAGGTGGTGATAATAGCTGGAGAAGAAGGAATACTTTTACAATCTGCATACATCGCATGTTCACTGCTAAGCCAAGAAAGGGTGAAATTAATTCCTTTGGAGCAAGGGCTTTTATGTTTCAGAGGAAGCAGGAGGGGCTCACCGGCACACTGTCCCTTCTCTGGAGAGTTTCACAAATGCCATTGGCCTTTACTATGGCTAAGAGCCTCAATGTCTTTCCAGTATAAATATTAACCCCTATACATCCTAATGAATCATAAAAACACACCAAAAAGAATAAAATATTCAAACAAAATGAAAGCCTAGAATAAACCATATGTATTGTAGTGGTGTTAATAAAACAATAACATTATCTCCTTGTTCGAGACATATATAAAACCTCTAATTAGCTCCTAAAAAATATACACACGGTGTATGTTTGGCATATTATAGGTTTGCAAATGCATACGTTATAATAGTGAATGTTAGTTTCAAAAGAAAAAAAATCTCATGCCCATTTTGTATGGCAGTCCGTTCATGCTTTAGTCTCCAAAGGCACATGAGAGAAGCTCCTTTTTAGAATATAGCAAGTGATCCACTGTGGATTATAAAAACTTGGTCCTGGGAATATCATCTGCTTTGTCTATGATGAATTGTAGCAGAAATTACAGATGTTCAGTACTGAGTTTTACCTCCAGACACTATTCATATAAAACTTTTCCAAGCAAGTAAAACTGAGTATGTTTTTCTTAGATAATTCTACTTCATCATTTTCTTTTACCTGTATCTCAGCCTGAGGAAAAAAGGAGCAAACTGCAGAATATAAATAATAAACGACCTTCCTCCTATCAATTTCCTCCATGACAAAACCAGGGCTTACTTCTGGGGCACAGAGGGCTGAATGTTCCTGCAAGGAGTACAGTTGGTTTACCTAATAACTAAAAGGGTTTGATATTATCTGGTGAAATGAGCGGCTGGTGTAAGGCGTCTAAAAGATCAACATATCTGTGTGACTTGAGAATTGCCTTGGCGTTTCCAGGCTTCTTAAAAGTTCTGGTGAGCTATTCCTCAATGGCCAATGCGTGAAGGGAGACCTTGTCAAATGGCCTGTTTCTCTGCCAGGTCCCAAGCTGTTTACAACTTTCTGTGATGGAGCTGAAGCTGACTTCATTGATATCTACAGCTAGATAATGGGAATCAGATGTCCCTTTTGAACCAGAATAGGAAGAGAGTGGTTATTAAAAACAGAGCTCTCTCTCCTCTAACCCACCACTACCTAAGAGGCTCCCCATCTTTTAAACTTAAGGGTCTGGACCAAACCAAAGAATCTCACACTTGATGACGGTACTTTTGTTTAAGTCATGAAAATGCATCAGTTGGTTATAGCCTCAGGCTAACAAAAGAGAACACTATTTGAGTTATAAAGTATACTTTTGGAAAAAGGACCCCAAAATTATGAAAAAGCAACTTCTTGCCAAATAGAGGTCCTAATTCTGAGCAACACTCATTTGCAGCGGGGACCATCTTCGGCTGTTCCCCTGGATTCATGAGACTGTAACTTCACTGCATGTGAAAACTCCGTCACTGGAGCTGAATGAGCTTTAGGACAGAATGAAGATCATAATGACAAATACACGTTGGGAGTGTAACCCATATCGTGGACCAACACAACGCACCCAAGGCCTGGAATCAGCAATTAAGCCTTGCTGCTGATGCCTGGGGAGCGCCGTGGGCTGACCTCATCCTACAGATGAAGAACCTTAGGGGGTTGACGTCTATAAATGTATATACCTCTAACTCTCTTCCAAACCATTTAAAGAAAGAAGGTAAAGTTTTAATAAAAGTACACTCAGCAACTGTCGTCAGCCTCGGCGCTGTCCTAGCAGGCACAGATAAAAGGTGTACACACAGAGCCCAGACTAAAGTGTTATGTTGTAATCTTGAATTGTGAGCAGGGCTAAAAAAATGGGTTTCCTCTGGGCCAAGACAGGGCTGTGGAAAGTTATCAACGGATTCTCAGAGACCCCTGAATAAGATCAAGTATGCTCCAGGAGCACCATCTCCTGCTTCATTGCTCCTCTTCATTGCTGGCTGAGCCCTCTCCTGGCTTCTGGACAGTCCTACAGGTCATGCTGCTTGCTCTCTTTCTCAAACACATCAGACTTAGCCAGTATGCAGTGCTCCCCTCCTGTCTTCCTAAGTTTCCCTGTGGTGTAGTGGAAAGAGCACGAGTTACGAACTCAGCGACCTGGCTTCCAATCTTCACTCCTCCGCTTACCGGCGGGCTAACTCTGGGGAAATTACTTAACTCTGATGGGTCTCAGTCTCTCCACCTGTAAAATGGGAGCAAGGACAGCTACCTCACAGGGATTCTTAGGGAGAGCACGTGACAGGATATTTAAATTCCCTGGCCTCTGCAAAGTAGGTGCCTGGTCCCTCTCAGTTCCTTTCTCACTTCCCTATTGCTTTCTTGAGCCGAACTACTCCCTCCCCAAGCACTGGGTTCCCCTGGCTCTGTGCTGCTCCTTGCCAGCCCCACCCCTTTCTTGTCATCTACACGTGTGCTCATCTCAACCAACCTCCACAATTCAACTCAAAGTCCACTTTCCCCAGGAAGTGCCCTTGAGATCCTTTCTCTCACCTGATGTTCCCAGATCTATGATATGTTTCTACACCATTTTACAAATTATTTATCTATTATTTATCTGTCTTCCCTGCTAGTCTAGGTCTAGAGCATCCAGCCTAGCACTCACTATACCTGGGTGCCTGGCAATATTTGTTTAACGAACAAATGTGTAAATACAGGACCAAAAGGGGAGCTTCTAATGTGCTCACTTGAATGATGGTAACGCTTTAGCCAGTACTCTAAATGAAAACAATACTCAGAAAACAGCCAGAATCAGAACGTGAGATGCACTCTGTGGGGTGAGAAAAAGCATCTGCCTCTGCAGAAGCCAGAGAAGTTATGTGGGAAAAGCAGCACGGAGAGGACAAGCGACAGAAGCCTGGGGCCAGGACAGCGGCTGGAAGCCTCAGCCTAGACACAGCGCCAACCTGCAGAGACGGAGACCGTCCTGTGCGTCGAACCAGACTTTTGGGATAAAAGAAATCGGATGAAGAACGATGCGTGTTTGACAGCTGCCATAAAACATGAAAAAAGGGAAGAATGAACAAAGAAATATCTTCAGTTTAGAAACGCTATACAAAAAAAAAAAACAAAACCTTTGGGAAAATGAATTTGAGAGTAACTGTCAAGGGGCATCGCTTTAAAGTTGTGTGTGTATGTGTTTGAGGGCCCATGTGTAAAAGCATATTTACTGGTCTTCAAGTTAGTTTATTTACCTACATTCTAACACCCCATGATTCCCTTCCATTTATTTCAGCTTAGACATTTTTATATATGAAGAGTAAGAAGCCAGTGAAGCCACTGAGAGATGTCCTTAAGAATCTATCATTATAAATGGCCTGTGAGTTCTTAAATACCAAGAATGTGGATTACTCAGTGGGGTTGCACAAAGATTCTTAAAACATTTTCATTTTGCTATGGTAACTGCACTGATGTGATACCCTGTGAAAGGCTTGGAAATCTTGGCTCAATGTCTATGATCTGTAGACACACCCTTAAGACAGAACAACATTTATTCCCTTATTCAAAAACCGATTCCCCTTTAAACCCCACCAACGTCAGCATATATCCCACTCAGGGCACACTGGAACCTCTTCCCCTCTGGTGTGCATCCTACACACTACTGGGCTTCCCAAAGGTGAGCAAGCTGAGGGTTGGCCTGACCTCCCAAGTGGTTGAATGTTGGCTTTAGGAGAAAAGTTTTGGAATTTTCTGGAAAACTTTACTAAAGGAAGAAAAACTAACAGCTCTTCTTGGCCAGAAAGAGTAGAAGTATTTCACTAGTTGTTTTCACAAGTTTATCCAGAGAGTTCTATCAAGATGCAATCAAGAGTGGTTTTTTTTCTTTCTTTTTTAAATATCATTTTAGACACACTATCTGCAAACTCAAGCAATCCTTACAGAGAAAAGGCACACATTCCACGCAGTCTGGTCTCATTAGCATTCTTCTCCTCATCTCCCAAAAGACTTCATCAGGGATGAAGTGAAAATGATTATTCAAAAAACTGATAGCAACACTGTAGAGACAGTATAAACCACTAGCTACTTGGGTGGTTTCTGGGCAGCATCCCCAAGCTCTGCTATGAATTTTACATTCTTATGATAAAAGTGACAACTACTATCTTTAATGTTCTAGGATTTTATAAAGATAACCCATTTCCAAAGCATCCATAGTTCCTCAAAAATCTCAGACTCTGGTGCCCAACATGGGTGACAGTTCCAGTGTGCACCTGCCTGGCGGATGGACTTGAGGGTTATACACACATGCTCAAGCTGAAGCTGTTATTCTGAAATGGAGACCAAAACCATCCTGATATTGGTGGACAAATTCCTTTTCAGTTTGTTTTATTTTTACTCCATTATTCTGAGAAATAGGCGTTTTTTTTCTTTCCCATAAGAGTATGATGCCAATGGGGTTACAATGCATAGCTGCTTATACCTACTGATGGCAGTTTAAGAAGATCTGATATCACACTCTAGAGTTTGGCTTCCAAAATAAATTCAGGTCACTCTTTTCCCTGAGATGCCAAGTGGAACACAGTCAAACTATAGTTTTTCCAAGGATACCACTAAGTCAGCTAACCCGAGAGACTGGGATCGTGTGGACTGGGATCCGGTGTGATTATTGCTCAGAAAATATTTCATAGTCCAAGGGAAAAACTAGGGGCATCTGAATAGGATACAGATTATGATACTGACTTATAAGCGTGTACCGCTCTTTGCTTCTGAAACACACAAAATAGTGTCATCTGGAGGTGTTGTCAGGACTGAATAAGACCGGAGAAGGTTTTAGAAGTGAGAGGTGAAGAGGGTCTATCCTTTTACCCAAATGCTTAATGTTCAAGGACAGTTACTGAAACATTTTGATGTTACCTAAGAGTTAAGTTACCAGGATGCTTATTCACATTGACACTTCTGGGCTCATCATTGTTTTCCCTAAAGGTTTTATCTGACAAATCATCAGCTTCTGGAGACAGAGGCTACTCAGTGAATTTGGACTTAAGAGGTGAGTAAAATGTACCATGGATGCAGAGTTTGGGTCGGGGTGGTACATTATGGACTAAGTACAAAAACGTCTGGTGAGGTGACCAGATGTTGGACCTAGAACTTGATGAATCATTTTTTCCCATCTGTGTGGTTTGACTGTTCCCTTGAATGCTTTCCTATGAACCTGCTAGTGAAGCAAGGCTTACTTTCTCCAACACAAGCATTGGAAGCACTAACCACAATCGGTTTAACATTCGAGGGAAGGGAACCTCCTTCCCTGGCCAAATGGGCTTTCAACTTGATCTGCTCTTAAGAAAAAAAAGAAAGTCATGAAAAAGTAATTTCCCCAAAACTCCAGCCCTGAGAATTAGTGGCGAGGGCACAGCCAGCCAGCAAATGCACCTGGCATCACAGCTCTGTTTCCTTACCCGCAGCTTTTCCTCAGTCTTGGTAGATTGCTTACAGTCGGGATGCCAAACGGTGGAACCTGGAAAGACACAATGCCCACAAAGAGTTAAAGGAAATGGAAAGAAGCCAGAACTTCTGAGAACATTTCATATCCTTCTCTCTCTATCAGGGGGGAGTGTTAGAGCCCAAGTGAATTATGGGCCCAAGTGAATTATGACAGCTCTAATCTCCAGGTGAGTTTTCCTCATTCAGTCTGAGCTTGCTCTAGAAAGGTCACAATTCTAGACCACAGATACCACTAACGGGCGCAAGAGTGTTGTGACGCAAGAGATGTTTAGTTCTTGACTGAGTGTTGTTGCTGTTGTTTTGGACCATATTATCCTTTAAAAGTCATGTCTGTGTGCTTACTATAGGCTGTATTTAATTTAAATAGAAGGCATAAACCATGTTTACAGAACATCAAAACAACCAAGCAATTTATATAAGGGAAATAGAGTCAAACCCAATAGTCTATATCCAGAAGCAAAACTCACTGAATTTTTTGTTGATCCAATTACACACAGTCATCTACAAAGATATGGAAAACCAAGCCAACTAGTAGAAAGGTCGAAAGTTATGTTACAAATGCAGAAGTTTTCTTTAACTGTTAGCCTTTTAATTAACAAAACAAAACAAAAAATCTCCACTCTCAAATGAGTGAAATTACTACTTGTCATTTTCTGTCCCTGAGTCAATGCCTCACCTTCTCTGAATATGAAGCCCTTCCCTGGAATGGTGCCCGCATCACAGAACTAAGCAAAACACTTAAATCCCACAGAAAGCTCTTGTAAGAATCCAAGCCCACTGATATGATTTTGTATGCCTAGATATATATGTCATTTATACAGTTGTGGGTCAGACCTGTATGTAAGTCCTATGTTCACATAAGGACACGTTCAAATATGGTTATGGGCAGAAGAACCGAAGGAGCACTAGATAAGACTTTAGCAAATAAAGTTACTAAGTTGAAAGCAGCAAGTAAATGATATAAATTTAATAAGTCTCGGTATGAATATCAGACTTCCCACACATCATTGTTAAATCTTTATCTCTTCAAGCAACCATCTGTGTGTACTTAAAAAGTCACCAAATTAAAGTAACTCTTGAATTATTTTATACTACTGAGCTAAAATAGCTAAAATAATATTCATGACAAGGATAATACCTTTTATATCAGAATAATACTTTAATCCCTATTTAACAATCCTTCCTATCTTGCTTCACCCAGAGCCAAAAAAAAGAAAAAAAGAAAAAAAAAGGGAAAATGGAACAAACAAACCAGACAGACACATACTCTTTTCAGCATTAGCATTTACTCTGAGGCTGGCTACAAAGCACAGGAAATCCTCTTAATGTGGAGAGCCAAGGGTCAGGGGTGGGCCCAGGAGCAGCATTCGCTGCGAAGGTTCGAGTGGGAGCCCTTGGCCAGATCACGGGGTTTGCACGCAGTGTCACACTGTTCTCCAGAGGTCAGACACACAAGGACTGCGACTCGGGGAGAGTACCAGATGCTGAGGAAGATGAACTACTCATTCTTCAAGGATGTGTCGAGAGGGCAGGCAAAGAGCGCCAAGGCCCAACTCCAGAAGACATTTACAACAATCCCCGGAATTCTGAGGATAGCCCTTCTTAACGGATAGTTGTTTATTTGTAGTATGAATGCGCTGTTATTTGCGCACAGCTTGAAATCACTCTCTATTCAGGTTCCAGAACCATGTGAACGTGCAGAGCTGCACCCAGAGCCTTTGAGTCTCAGTTCCTAGCGGACGCGGTGTTGACACGCGCCCTTGTGTCTGGTTTTGAGTGCTATGATCGACACACTAAAATCTAAAACAAAGCCTGGAGACCAAATAGAGAATAAATCCGCTCCATGCTGAAAATGCAAAGTGACACCTGCCTATGGCTACGGAGATTCACAGCCTGCCCTCGGAGAAATGTGTCATATAAAGTCCACATGAGACCATGGGTTTGGGGGCCTGTCATTTCCCTTTATTGGGCCCTTTAAAATTCAGTGACTTTTTTCATCAGAATTTTCCAGAGTGATCATGAAAACTAAGGGATATTTGGGTTGTCATTTTCTCATATAGCTAGCATTTTTCAGAGAAGAGTAGATAAGGCTTTACTTTAATATTCAAGAATCATTTCCGTAGACTTTTTTTCGTTGTATAAAAACTAAACAGAGAGCAAAGCAAACCATTCATTAAAATACACATAGTGTTAAGTGCAGAGAGACAAAGAAACGAATGCAAAGGCAGATGAGACCTGGTTATTACCAAACTGAATGAGCACCAGCTCCCGGGGTTCTCGCTAATTTTACTGATAAGCCCTTGTCGATTTAATGACTCTTTCTCCAGCTAAAAATAGTAAAATGTTTGTGCAGATGGTGTTGTTTGGAAGAGAATCCTCCCCTAAGCTTCTTGCTGAGAAATTTCAGCATTTTAGGGGAGATAAAAACTAGTCATGGTTACACACTGAGAAAATTTCTCAAAATGATTTTCAATTAGAAAAAATCTGGGGGCACCTGAGTGGCTCAGTCAGTTAAGCATCCAGCTCTTGATTTCGGCTTAGGTCATGATCTCAGCATTGTGAGATCGAGCCCCCAGTTGGGCATGGAGCCTGCTTAAGATTCTCTCCCTCTGCCCCTCCCCCCACCACCCCCCAAAATATGATGGCCCTCTGGTAATGAATACTTCTTCGCCACCAAAAACTTCTCCATTTCTCTTTCAGGGACTCTGGGTATGTTCTCTCTCACTCTCTCGCTGCCTCTCTTTCAATATGAGAGCAACATCATCTTAATGGGATGAAATACATCTATGATGCAATTCACCAACTATGAGGTTTTCTTCTTCCTGAAATCCTACATAAGAGCAGGTTGGAGGCATTAAAAAATCCTTCTCGCAGGATAGTGAAAGGAGCAAAGACAAAGCAGCATCTAGAAATGCTTTTTCTCTTTTGTCTTGTTTCCCAGACCTCCTGGGGAAGGTTGGGAGGAAGTGTTGCTAATTTTCACTCTTGCCTCACCTCCATAGGACCAAACATCAAATCCTATTCGTTAATTCCAGAAGCAACACATTCCTTTGTTAAACACACTCAGGGGCTCACGGCTGGCATGTCAACTGCTTGGCTGATTAATACTAACTGATGAGGTAACTTCCGGCCACATTCATTTTGGATCTGGGAAGCTTTGTAGCTAATGAAATGCCTCCTTCTCTGAAAACAAACAAACAGACAAACAAAGCAAGGTTTTCTTTCCCCAGGCGGAAAGAACTTACTGAATTCTTGAGTCCATCTTACCTTGAAGATACATTTCCTCTCCTTCTGTGAACATCTGATTGCATCTGCTGCATCGTGCACAGCTGGGGTGGTAATGTTTGTCACCTGCCTGCAAGAGAAGAGGTAGGGACTACTTAGTTTATACCTTGTCACAGCTCCCAGCCTCTTTTCTGGACATGGGGATTTGGAGGCAAAGAGAAACAGCTGAGGCAGGAAAAATAATTGTCCCATTGACCTAACCTCCTATACCAACAGCCCTGGAAGCGGAAGCTGACCCCATTAGAACTGGAAGGGGCTCAAAGACCAGCTACTGATGCCTGGATGATAGGGTGGCCTCGCTTCTTGGGGTTTCTGGCGTCCATCTCTCTCTTGGCCTGGTCGCTCTTGGATGGATGCTAGTTACACACCATGTGCCTGAGATGAGTCCACTCCATCTCCAAAAAACCCCACCCCCAAAACATTAACATCCAAATTGATGTGGAGACTCATACTGGTTTGTACTAAAGTAATAAAAAGAAAGGATTCTCATATTTAGCAGGCTCTTGTTTTCTTAGCTAAACTGTCTAAAAATAATAAAATCTATCTAGCTTACATCAAGACGGGAAAAGCCGTAGTAAAGGACATAATCCACAGCTTTCATCTTAGGAGGACCCCAAATTCTCTTCTATGTTGCTTATAACAGTCTTTTGCCAGTGTCTTATGTTGTTTTCTGAAGACGGCATTTTACTGAGGTGGCCCTGCATTATTCATGAGCATTTCACATTCCTAAATATGACAGATGTCACCACAGCAGGTGTTGACTTCCCCTAAGCGAAATGTCACTGGACACAGGGATAATTCTCTAGACAGGTGCCAAGTCACATTAGAGTCATGCTCCAAATGTACGCCTGACAAAATGAGATCTTTTCGTTTATAGCTTAGCAAAAAATCTTCACCACCTAAAAATTATCAAATATACTCTGCAATGAAATCATTTTATTAACCAAGTGTGAAATAGTTCTTTTGCATGAACCACGTGCAAGGCAGTGCTGAGAGCCCAGAGTTAGAAGTAGCTGCCCCCTGTGCTTGCATGAAATCTCAACAGGAAATCAGAGGTCAGGTAGTGATTCCTTTCTCACACCCTCCAGTAGAAACTACAAAAGCCACTTAGCAACCAGAGTGGGAGATGGTGGTTGGTTACTCAAGACAATCAAGTGGAAAAAAATTTACTTCAAAATAGAAGCCAGGAATGAAATCTGTTGAATGGTGCCGATCAGAAAACTCTAGAAGCGGTGCTCTTGTTTTGGTTCACACACTATTATTCAATTATTTTTTTTCCAGGGGATGAAGGAAGCATAGGGAATGTCACACAAAGTAGCTCCTTCCCTTAGGCCATCCAGAGCCAAATGTGAGTGAAAGGAGAAAGAGAAAAGTCACAGTAAGTTCTAAACCACTGTAGTTCAGCTGGGATGCTAATGCTGAGAGTTCCCAGCCAGTTAGGACAATTCTGGATTCTCAAGGAAAATGTAAGTGAAAGAATTAAGGCACCTTGACAGGAAGTTTGTGTAGTCTACAGTGAAAAGCACACTCCTCAGTAACCTGGGAGAAGGAAGATAGATCTTCAAACTGATACAGTGTATCTGTCGTATTTAGTGGTGCAATATTAGGCGCATTCTCAACAAAGATAGCACCAAGACAATGACTTACACGTTCACCAAAGTGTTTCTACATTGTTTTAGTCCTAGCCAATGTGATAAGGCAAGAAGAAATAAAAATGCAGGTCACTAATGAAAGAGTTCAAATAGCTAGATAAAAAATAAACACACAAAACCCCATAGCTTTCTCATTGACTAGCAATACAAATTCAGTCAGTGTAATGGGAAAACAGGACTCCATTTCTAATAGCAACAAACAAACCCTTCAATGCAAGATCTACATAAAGAAAACTATAGAATTTAACCGATGGACATAAAAGGCTAACAGACATATAATATTTCTGGATGAGGAAACTAAATATTTAAAGATGTCAATTTATCTAAAATGAACCTATTAATGCAATGCATTCTCAGTCACAATACTCATAGGGGTTTCATCTACAGATCTTGACAACCTGATTCTGTAAGTTCATATGGAAGAAAAAAATGCACAAAATAGGGGCACCTGGGTGGCTCAGACGTTAAGCGTTTGCCTTCGGCTCAGGTCATGATCCCAGTGTCATGTGGTCGAGCCCTGCATCGGGCTCCCTGCTCCGCGGGAAGCCTGCTTCTCCCTCTCCCACTCCCCCTGCTTGTGTTCCTGCTCTCACTATCTCTCTCTGTCAAATAAATAAATAAAATCTTTTTTAAAAAAATGCACAAAATAAAAGACTTTTTTTTTTTTTTTTTTAAAAGAGCATCAACGAAGGGGGATTTTCCATTCCTGACATAAAAAGTTATTCTAAGGGGCGCCTGGGTGCCTCAGTCCTTGAGTTTCTGCCTTCAGCTCAGATCATGATCTCAGGCTCCTGGGATCAAGCCCCGCATAAGGCTCTCTGCCCAGCGGGAAGCCAGCTTCTCCCTCTCCCATTCCCCCTGCTTGTGTTCCCTCTCTCATTGTGTCTGGCAAATAAATAAATAAAATCTTTGAAAAAGAAGTTATCCTAAGGCTCAAATAATTAAAGTTCTTCAATACTGGTCCAGGAATAGAAAATAAATCCGTGAAACAGATAACTCAGAAAAGCCAGTTGCACAGCTCTACACAAGATAATTTAGTCTACGATAAAGGTGGCATTCCCAATGAGTTGCAAAATGGATTATTCCACTAATGGTGAGAACAATGGATTCTCCACTTAGAGAGAGGTAAAACTAGATTCTTAATTCTTAACCTACAAAAAAAGAATTCTAGAGAGTTACAGAGCTAAATATAGAAACAAAAATGTAGAAATATTACATGAATACATAGGAGATAATTTAGTGTACTTGGGGGTAGGAATGTTTTCCTAAACAAGGCAAAATCTAGAAACAATAAAGACAAATAATGACTGTGCACACACATAAAAATGTCTAGATGTAAAAAAGTTAAAGGAAGAGTAGCAGAGAAAAAATACTTGCCATGCATGTCATACAAAAGACTATTATCCAGAATATATAAAGAGTATCTCTAATAAAAAATAAGTAGGAACATGGGCAAAAAGCAATTTCCAGAGGACATGTAGAAGACCCCCAAAATAAAGAATTAGCTCAACTCCACCAGGAATCAGGGAAACCCAATTTAGAAAAAAAAATGTTTTTCTTCACCAAACTGGCAAAGAGAAGACTGATGTAAGGAAAAAGGCATTCTCACACACTGTTGGTGAGCAAAATTCTTTTCGGAAGGCAGCTTTGGCAATATTTATTCAAATTTAATATGCACATACTCTGATGCACGATACCACTGCTAGAAAGCTATCTTACAGAAACTCTCAAAGCTGTGCTTAAGAGTGTATGTATTAAGGATCTTCAACATTATTTATAACAGCAAAGAACAGAAAGCAACCTAAATAACCTAAATAAGAAAGTAGTTAAATAAAATATTGAATCATATGTAGCCATTAAAGGAATGAAATAAACTTACATGGAAAGAGTTTAAACTAATGCTGCCAAGAGAAAAAATCATGCAGAAAAACAACGCCTATAATGTAGTCCCATAGTACTAGCTGACAGTGTGGAGACACTGAGGTAAGTCTGACTGGATTCAAATCCAGTTTCAGCATGATGCAGTCTTGTGAAGGTGGCAGGCTCTCTGAACATACAGCACTCCCCTGCTGTAACTACCTCACAGGACGTGATTAGGGTGAGTGATAATATGATTTTTTTTTTCAAAGATTTTATTCCTTTATTCATAAGAGACACAGAGAGAGAGAGAGGCAGAGGGAGAAGCAGGCTCCTCACTGAGCAGGGAGCCCGATGTGGGACTCGATCCCAGGACCCTGGGATCATGACCTGAGCCGAAGGCAGATGCTTAACCATCTGAGCCACCCAGGCGCCCCAATCATATGATATTTTGAAAATGGTACAGCACACTACTACATATAGTAATAATAGAAACAATAACAATAATTAACAGTAATCCTCTGAACAGAGGTGGTCCCAGTGCCATTCACAAAGAGAAGGCTTGTTGGCGCAGGTTGGGATGCTGGTAAAAGGCCCCCTCAGTGCCCATTCTTTCCCAAGGACAGGCACAGGAGAGTAACTGTTACACGAACTCTCATACAAGGCGGATGGAAGATATGCCAAGGCCCCAGGTGGCAGGGCTGTGGTGTATAAACCATTAGCAAAAACACTGCTAAGAAACAATACCAGCATGACGCCCGGGACATCAGTCGGGACCCATGCACTCGCTCATCTCAGAATGCTGAACATGTCAAGTAATTCAGGGAGCCAGAATCAAAGTCCATTTCGCAGCCATTCAAAAGTCTGTTTTTGTAGCAGTGCGGGCCTGGGGGACCACACGTGGTCAGGGGCTCAAGGACAAGGGAACCTCTGTTTTGCATGTGAGAGCCACCTCCTCTCTTTCGTTTCTTCTTACGCTGGTACCCATGACAGTTCACAGTCAAGCCCTATGCACAGGGCCAGGAAAAGGGATCAGAGCTGAACAGACGTGGGTTCATATGCAAACCAACCCCCAACATGGACATAGCTGATCAAAATCATTTACACTGGAGTCATTTATAGAAGAAGGAAAAGTATTTCAGATCATGAGCAAAATGGAAGACTAGACAATAAACATACAGTTCATTGTGGAGAGGAGGTTATTGATTACAAACTTTTAAAGCACAGTGTGGGCTTTGTTGTGACAGGTGACTTCGTAAGTGACAGTGACTAGGTACCTGGTCCCAAGCCCACACCCTGCCACTCTAGCTGTTCCTAGGCCTGTGGGGCCAGATGCGCTGCTGGGGCTCCCCAGAGCTCCACAATCACTGTTCTCCACCCATCTTTCTACCCTGCTATGTAAAAAAATTACAACTTATTTTCTTCTTTTTCGCATATTCAAAATGCACATGTTAAAAGTCTACATTCTGGCTGGCATTACACTCTATGGAAAGTAAACAATTTGCTCATTTAGCTGAGTTTTATAAAGCACCTGCCTACACATTCAAAGTGCAAAAAATGG